AACAAGCCCGGTGGCAGGAGTCGTTGGCCGAATTCGACTTCAAGTTCGAACACAAAGCAGGAAAGAGCAATCAAGCAGCCGACGCGCTGAGTCGGAAGGGCGAACATGCGGCCCTGTGCATGTTAGCCCATATTCATTCAAGTAAGATCGATGGATCGATGCGCGACATCATCAAGGAACATTTACACAAAGACCCATCGGACAAAGCTGTTGTCGAACTAGCTAAGGCTGGAAAGACACGGCAGTTTTGGGTTGAAGGGGACCTCCTGATAACCAAAGGAAACAGATTGTACGTCCCAAGAACAGGGGAACTGAGGAAGAAGCTCATTCNCGGCCATACAACTGAAAAGGGGACTTGCACGAGAGGAACCTACATTCATGGCCATACCACTAATAGAGGAAGCAACCACCGAAGGGACTGTCCCAGAGGAAATCAAGGAAGTACTAGACAGCTATACCGACATAATGCCGGAGAGTCTACCACAAACACTACCCCCTCGGCGAGGCATTGACCACAAAATCGAACTCCTTCCCGGGGTTAAGCCGCCAGCAAAGAACGCATACCGGATGGCTCCACCCGAGCTAGCCGAATTGAGGAAACAACTGGATGAGTTGTTGAAGGCGGGATTCATTCGCCCGGCAAAGGCCCCTTATGGAGCCCCTGTACTGTTCCAAAAGAAGAAGGATGGGACGTTGCGTCTGTGCATAGACTATAGAGCCTTAAACAAGGTGACAGTACGCAACAAATATCCTCTGCCGATAATATCTGACTTGTTCGACCAACTTCACGGGGCCAAGTACTTCACGAAGTTGGACTTACGATCAGGATATTATCAAGTACGCATTGCCGAAGGGGACGAACCCAAGACGACGTGCGTAACTAGATATGGGGCCTTTGAATTCCTAGTAATGCCCTTTGGCTTGACAAACGCCCCAGCTACGTTCTGCACTTTGATGAACCAGGTTTTCTACGAATACCTGGATCAATTCGTCATAGTATACCTCGACGACATTGTTGTTTACAGCACAACCCTCGAGGAACACAAAGTGCATTTGAAGTTAGTGTTTGACAAGCTCCGGCAGAACCAGCTGTATGTGAAGAAGGAGAAATGTGCAT